TTCGGCGTTTTCTGCATTTGCCTGTACTTGAGAACTCGCAGTCGTTTCATCAAGGTTAAGCAACTCATCAATTTCGGTTTCTTCAACCAAACCCAACTCACTCCCTTTGGGGTTTATTTGCTGCTCAAACTGCAACAAATTTGCCACCGCTTCTTCCAGTAGAGACAGTTGCATTTGTCTATTGGCTCCTGTTGCTCTCGCTTCGGTTTTGTTGTTGACCAGTTTTTTCTTTACCTTGAATTTCAAGTCCTTCCATACCTTTAGTAGAATTGTAGAATCGTTAGTTTTAAGTAATATTTACTGTTAACATAATTTTACTTACTTTATGCCAACCTTCTCCATCACGAACTGGAGGTCCAAAAGGATTTACTTTTTCCGCAACCACGTTCCAAAAACTGTTGAAGTTAAGAGGTTTTATGCCCTTCCTAAAACCTTTGGCGTACGCGGGATTCTTTTCCATTTCGGAAACTAAAACCTCAAATTGCTGCACGGTAGTAATTTTCATTTTAACTTTATTAAAATCGCAATCCTTTCGCTTTCGTTCTAAAAAATGCGGACGACAGTAGACGAATGTTTCTATGGCGTTCCTATCTTCGTTTCAAAATGGAGAATACCGATATATTTCCGATAAACTTCGATAACGCCAACGGTGATGCCAACTTGTCGTTTTTATTTCGTTTTAAAACGACAACGCCAACGGGAATAGGGCCGATCATTTAGAAAGTGCAAGTTCATATCTTTAATTTGATATACATATTTTATTATGATCTACTTTTGAGGTTTAACAATTCAATGATAAAATAAAATTAAAAGCATTTACAAGCAAGTGACAAGTGTGGGTGATATCATACGTTTCTTTCGCCCAGCACTTCTTACTGCGTAGGCGGCCTTGGGCCGCGCTTAGGGATCATAACCCTTACAAAGTAGAATTCTCCTTTCTGTATTGCCGAAGAAGCGGAGCTGAACACCTTTTGCAGAGAACACCTTTCTGTGTAGGCGGCCTTTGGCCGCACTTAGGGGTTATAACCCTTACCAAATAGAATTCTCCTTTTGGTGTGCACCAACTGGGGTTACCATCGCAGTGATGTAGCCTTGGGAAAGGATGAGGTAACTAGAATTCCCTTTCTGTGTGGTAAACCTGGGACTGACGCCCCAGTGATGTCTATTATGGTTACTGGGTGTTTTATAAAAATGTCTTGCGCAAATGAACATTTTTCAAGCGAAAAAACGCAAATGAAAATTGTGATTTTTGGCAATTTTTCTGAGGGGTCCCTAGGTAACCATAGGGGACCTAGATGGTCGGGGGTTGCATTTTTGTCAATGGCGGTTCATTCCCTCTCCAAAAAGGTGGGTTAGAGGTGTCACGCCCACTTGCCCTTCGCCCACCGCCACTTTAACGAACGGCCATAATGGAAAGCCAACGCGTTTAATTAACTACAATATGCATTTGCACATACATGCATTTATATTTTTTATTATCACTGAATTCTGAAAACTCAAAAGGAAATCATAATATAATACGTATATCAAATTAAAGGTAAAAACTTGCACTTTTAAAATAATATAATTTTTTTTAGCATTGATTATGGACCTTTTCTAAAAAAAAGGTTATTTTATGAAAAAATTATGAAATTTTTTTGTTTTATAATATTTTTGGCTTAAAAATATAAAAAAAGCATACACATTTTATATATCAGCTTGAAGATAAATTAGTTGTCTTGATTTTGACATCATTACCTTTTGAATCGGTTGCGGAGTTTAGAAAATATTATTATTTTAAAATATCAAAATTTTTTGTTTTACCTTTTATATCTACTTTACTTTTTAATTGCGGCAAATAATATTTATATAGTTAAAATCAGCGTAAAAAGTACCAGCAATCTGCATTTTTAGTTTTTCTATAGCTGAACGGTTGGTTATCTTGATGTATGCCCCTTTTCTCTATAATTACCCCTATTTTAATCTTCCTTCCTCTATCTTCATCTTTACTTGTATCGGTATCCTCATCCTCATCTTTTTCTTTAAATGTATTTATTTTTGGCTTTACTTTTATGTTTATCATTTTCTTCATCTATATATTGCCCTTCTCCTTTGCCCATATATAAGTAAAGTGTTTAAATTTACCTTGATCTTCATTTTTGCGTTTATCTTTACGCTTCTTTGTTTTTGTTTTTATTTTTACCTCAGTCTTTATCCTTTTCTTTTTCTATGTACGTACTCACCTTTACTTTCATTCTTGTATTGGTCTTTTTCTAAGTAATATTCTTCAACCGTTTATTAGCAAGTTTTTGTTAAATTAATACCATGTGCATACACTCAAGAAGCACCTGTTTCCGTCCCAACAATTTCCGTTGCACCATTCCCGTGTGCAATTTTCGTTGAATTTGCCAAGTTACTCCAAGCCAACCAACCGCCGCTAAAGAAGTTTCACTTCAAAAAACATTGTTATGTTCAATATAAAATTGCGAGTAGATTCGCTTTAGAAGCAGTTTCTTTTTATAAGTAATTTATTCGCAGTATTTTTACTTGGTAAGAAAATAACACTTTCTTATTTTTTTAATATTTATGTATAAGAAAGGCCACACAATTTCGCTACTAATGACTGAGATTTCTTCTAAATGTTGGATTTACAATTAAAAGTTATATAATACGCGATGCACTTCTTTTTACCTTACTAATTTGAAATAGTCTCAGTTTGGAAATGGTAAAAAGGTTTTAACAGCCGTCAACTATGACTCCGAAATAGCCAATTTATGCAAATAATCTAAACATTAGTAAAGAAACGAAAGCATCAAATAGTCGATAATATATAAATCGAAAATAGTATCATTGATAATTGACTAAATTGCATAAGAAAGCATAATAAAACAAATAATAAGAAAAGTGTAGTATCGATGCCGCAGCGTAATCTATGTGATGTGCTCGTTGGTAGTAGGTCGTGATCGTCTCGTTGCGTTGCCTAGTAACGTTTGATTGCGTTCACGCTGCTCGTCACCAGCAAAACTGACATATCCACCAGCAGCAAGGTTATCTCCCCCAAAGACACCCGCCTGCCGATTGCCAGCAACGTTAACGTCCCTTAGGGTAATGTTGTTATCATCTTTGTCACCGTCGTCGTCGCTATCAGTGTCATTATCTTCAGAACAGGATGTGCTTAGCCCATCAGAGGAATTGCTGCTGCTGCTACCACGTGTCGATAGTTTAAGACTACTACATATATCCAGCGACGCGGATACAGATATTGCTGTCGATTCGATTGCCGATGGATGGTAATTTGGGCTGGGGCATTTACTTTCTCGATCACGATGTCATCTATCAGCCCCCATTAGCGAAACGAAATCGTCGTCCGTATCGAGAATACTGCTGGAATGTGGAACAACATTGCGTGCCTGCAAAAAGCTATTGCCAACAGGTACAGGGCCACCGTATAGTTGATGAGGTGAGTATTCTCGAGCGTGCACTTCACGTTTTTGTATGTTTATGCCAAAATTGGAATGCGTTCCAGCTGCTGCTGCTGTGTTAACGGCAAACGAAGTTTTAGCTGATGTGTTGTGGTGTCCTGAGCGTATGCCTGCTAAGTGGATGTGAGATGTATAATCAGTGGTTAGTGCGATCTCGCCATCAGGCAATACAAGATTATCTGTAGCTCCGTAGCGATTGACTTTAGCCAATGGTTTACTAGCGGAATGCGAAATTTTTTTTCTATTACCTGATTGTCCAACAGCGCTGCTGTTGCCACTAACTACTATGACATCGCCGACAGTGGTACTCGCTGTCGGCATGCCAGTTACCATACGCTCTGAATTGCTGTTACCATCTTGGCGTTTGCTCATTAAGTATTCCGTCTCACTACTGGAACGACGTGTTCCCCGCGGTAGAGGTTGATAGTTACTGCGGCCTTGAAAATGTCGACTAATCGAGCTGCTTACTACTCCCAAATGCTCAGTAACATCTTGTTGCATATCGGAGATGTCCATCATAGAGAGGAAAGCACGACACCAGTTATGATTCGGGTTGTTCCAATATTGAGGCGAGTTAATATGAAATGGATAATGCGGGAAACTATAGATGTGCGCGACAGCTGCTATGAACATCTCAATACAAATCAGGAAATTCTGAAAAAAACACGTAGTTTTTAAGGAAATTATGTACATTACAATGGGACTAATGGTTAGTTATTTAAATTAATTTCCCTTATCATTGTAGTGTTTCTGCGCATTCACAACTATAACATTTTTAAATACCTGCAGCATTGACGCCAAATTCGTATCGTCTCCAAGTGAGAAAAAAGGTTGCAAAACATTATAGTAAGCTAATAAGAACAATATTACGCCTTGGCTGCAATAAAAAATATTATCAATCTTAAAAAAAAATAGACTAAAAAACTTACAAAAATGAAAAGAACACCACTGCCTTGATGCAAAGAAATTTTGGTATCGGTTTCATTGGTTTAAGATCCTCCTGTTATTATAAAAGTGAAAGGTGAGAATTGTTTCCAAATTCATTCAAGCTACATTTTTTTTTACTTTATTAGCTTTATAGAAGAGTACCAAACAGTACATAGCAACAAACTGTGAAATGTTATTGATCACAATGATGTAAGGAAAAGCCACATTCCCCGCGAAGGTTCCTTCTCCATAAACACCACAGAGCTCGCAAATACTATTAAATAACATTTACACCAATTTAATATAATTATTCGCGCTAAGTTTCTTTGTATATATGTACATATCGATGGTCCTGCGCAATAACGACACAATTCAAAAAATAAAAACCCTTACTACTGTTAAGTCACTCATGTCTTTAATCCTTCTAGAATTCACGTCTAACTGCTTACTTTAGTAAGGACTGGAAATGGATTACACAAGGATTGGAGAGAAGAACCACTTAACAGTAGTAACAGTTTTTATTTTTACAACGCTTTTATCAACTTAGAAGAAGACTAAAAAGTAGAAAATAAATAAAATAGAAAACTTTTTAATATAACACGCTTTTATAAACAGACTAAAAAGTAGAAAATAATATTTCTCAGTCCCATAGAATTTGTTTTGATAACTTTTGATTTAGAAATTTTAGCAGAAGTCATTACAAACAATTTATGAAATGGAAAATGAAAAGCGTGGGCGCATGTAATAAATTTGAATTGATATGAAAAGTAATTAGTCTGTTCCAATAGCAGTCCGGTTTACAGGATTTAGTCAGAACTTACAGGAAGTCGTTCCTATTGACACAAAACCTGTAAGTGGGAACACATTTGAGAGAGTAAATGAGCAACTGTTCCTAGTCAGAAGTTACAGGATTTAGTCCGGAGATTTTTTTCCTGTAAGTTCATGAAAAGTGTCAAACGATCAGCTGATTTACATGTGCAAACAAAAACAGAAAGCAGTGAAAGCAAAGAAGCTTATATTTGTTAAAAAATGGAAGTAAACAACGAAATATTTGAATATGTATAAATTTTAATAATTATTTAGTGATATTTCAGCCAAATCGGTGTAGTACCAATGACATGTAAACAAACCGTCTGACGTTTTTACAGGAAATAGTGCTTTTTGCGTTCCTATGCACTTCTGCATCTGTTCTCCTTTTACTCTCATTTGAGAGCGTAAAATTGTAGTTTGACAGTTCCACAGGTTTTAGTCCGAAGTTCAAAGGAACAGACTAAATATATGTATGTACATATGTGGGTATATGAATAACGATCGCTTAAAATCGATCTCAACTTGCGCTATAGAAATTTTAGGTCTACTATTTTATGTAGTTTGACTATTGTCTATTAAAATTAATGCTTTGTATTGCATGCGCTCTATTGAGGAAGAAA